CTGAAGTAGGCACTTGCTTTCCTCTTAAATTTGCAGCTACAAATAATGCAACTGTATACAATCTGCTTCTTGGTTAGGACTACTTATAGGGGATGGAAACAGCATCTACCAACCTGACTAAAAGACTTGTAGTTGGTTTAATGTTAAACATGTTTATACCGAAAGATATGGTATGAATAAAAGATGGGAAAAATTTCATAAAATTATGTACAAAAAGCAGACTTATTCATTCTTTAACTAATATGATATATTAGCGAACTCCTATAAGTTGGATTACTATACATATCCTTCTTCTAGTACAGTCAAAAGTCTTTAATCCGAAACTCAAAGCTACAAACTTTCTGCGCATGCGTATAATACGTTTTACGCATGCGCGTTTAATGTATAACGGACAGTATAAGCTAAGCTAAAATGATCTAATTATCTATTTCAGTTAAGGTTGCAGATTGTGTTGTAACTTAATCTTTGAATTGGATCTGGCTTATTATTTTTTTAAGACTGTTAGAGCAATTTTATAAAACTAAGCTTGAACTTTCGATTATGTCAAAAAGAATTTCCAATTCTCGAGGCTGCCAAAGGATCTACAAAGCGAAAGCATGTTTCGATGTCCATCAAACAAAAAGTGGAATTGCTGCAAAAAATGGATAAAGGCATATCCTTTGTTTCTCTAACCATTCCGAAATCTGTTTATCAATTTCACGCTGCTCTGCGGGGGGGGGGGGGGCGGAAAGGTCGCGGCGCGCAATGAACTGGAAGTTGATCTGTCAGCACTATCCTTATCTTCAGGGCAGATGTTTTTATTTTATTCAGCTTATAATTCCTTACTAAATGTAGTATTTCATCTCGATGTACTCCGTCTTTGATATGATTTAAATCAAATTCCTCGTCATTATAAATATCACGAATACACATCAAATAGTTTTCTGGTTGTAATTTTCTAATTTCAGCTATGCGTAATGTATGCTTTTCACATGCTGAAAGAAATGTTTAATAAAGTAAACAAATAAACATTAAGTTTTTTTTGTAAATTTTGATACCCTTCAGATCTTATTTCATAAATTACGGTTTCATATTTTTAATTTTATAATTTCTGCATGCCATCTTACCAGATTTAAATTGATAATCTATAATACGGAATCGCCGAAGTCCTGACGAGTCCAGATTAAAAGATTTTTGACTGTATAGTCCAAAAGTTTTTTTGAGACCATTAATTTCTATTAGCACTGCAAGATATTTTTTCAATACGCATTTACACAGACTGGTTTCTAGGATAATGCTAGTAACATCAGCATCTGACCAACAATACAAACCTGTAGAATACTTCCTATTAAGTTTTCCACATTTTACATTGGAGTATTTCCATAATTAGTAAAACTTGATTTGGATTTATATGTCTGAATATTTCCTCAGCAAGAAATTTTGGCAAACATAAGAGTGTAAATCTTGCTTCAAATACCCGGTCATCCCATTTATTCAGTTTTTGTTATATATACTTAGCTCACAAAACTTTGTTTTTATTGTCAAATTGGAGTTCCGATGATTAAGTCAAAATTAAGGGCATAAATTTCAGTCCTATTACATCACTCACTTTCCATTTCTTGTGCATTATCTTTGAAATGACTTTTGTTCATATGCATTATGATGTACTGATTGCATATGTCAAATATTGTTCTACGAATATGTATAGTTTTCTAACTTCCAATCAGAAATCTTAAAGTAGGTTCACAATTTTATTAAACCCAAATCTTGAATTATTATTGAATCCTTCGAATAATAACAACATAATAAAAAAAAACAAAAAAATCATTTGTCATTAGAAGTTTCTAAATAAGGCAAAATATGAAATTTTGCTTAAGAGAAAAATTTAAGAGCATAGTTTAAAAATATACACCTATATTTATTAAATATATATATGAATTAAATTTAGAAAATGAAGTATATAATTCTTGAATCTTGCGGCAAATTTTAACATAATTTGTCAAACTTATTTGGGTATGTTTGCCAAATTATGCTGCATTTTGTGTTCAGATTTCAATTAACAGTTCAAAATTCAGTAACTATGACTGAACAGTTCAATTAGTAGATAAGTAATATGCGCAACTCAACACTGATATATCACGGCACGAGTTGATTGAAATATCCAGTAGTAGGTTATCTATGCCCAGAATTACCGAAATGATTGGAAAGTTGTTTTTTGAGAATGTCCGAGAAAGCACAGTGCACTGATAATGAAAATACTGGTAGATTTTGAATATAATGCTGGAAAATTATAATGCTTTATTGGAAATCAATAAAATTAAATTTTTCGATGATTCGAGTTAAAAGATGTAAAGATTACTTAAGATTCAAATGATGAAATAGGCTAAAATTAAAATTTTTTGAAGATTCAAAGTCCCACCAGCAGCTGAGCGGTAAAATTGCTGAATACTGGTAGTTCAACCTGGGTTCGTATCCCTGCAAATGGCTTAGCTGCATGGAAGTTACCATGATTTTCATCATGTCTTAACATGGATATGAGCCAGTTATCCTTAAAAGGTCCTCCAGGAAGCATTCCTTGAGTTGCTTTGTTTTAAATCACTTAATATTAACTCAAGATTCAAATATTCCATCCCTAAAAAAAAGGTAATTAATAATTGAGTTTACATTTAATGAATTAACTCAATTATTTAAGGTTATGTTTGATCTCAGTATCATATTAATTGAGTGGGGGGAAAAAGCTAAATGATTTTTTACGCAAAAAAACCTCATTAGTGGACAACTTTCTTTAAAATACATTTTCCTTTTTCGAATCTTTTAAATTAATTCTTTATTCTTCATTCAAATAAAGATTTTTACATTATTGTACTCATAATGGCCATTAAATCTTCTTTTGATTTCAATGTATAAGCTATTTCTCCCACTTTCCTGGTGTGGCTTTGTATGCTGGGCCAGTATTCCAGAGGTCTGTGGTTTGATTCCCGGCGAAGGCGATTGCTCATTTTTCATCTCTCTGGCTTCCAAAAAAAAAAAAAAAAAAAAAAAAACCCTAATGTCTCTGCAAATTTACATCTTGCCAAAACCATTCAACAATTAATGAAAAAGGAGAGGGAAATAAAAAGAAAATGCTTCTGTCTCAAAAAAAAAAAAAAAAAAAAAAAAAAAAAAATCCACGTGCATTTTAAAATACTTTCATATGTGTATATCATCGAAAAATATTTTCTTAAATATGGAGAAGTAAGAATTATATATTTATACCTAAACACATTCATTTCTTAAAAATATGAATTTCTCATTAATGTACTTCAGATGTTTCTTTTGCAGCTCTAGAACTTTATTGAATTCCAACACGCGACTCCTATTGATGTGAAGTTTCGTCAGTCCTGGTCTATACCACGGGCGGCCCGCCAAGTGTCAGCTTATGCCTTACAGAGCTGGTTCATATTAAAGAGAGTATTAGAACACAATATAGTACATAAAACAACCATCATATCCCAATAAAGAACATTCCATCATCACATGCTGATTCTGCATGATGTGGAAAGACAGAGCTATGCCATGCAGTGTTGCAAAGCTGAGCACCAGTCAATTTGCAGCAACTTGGCAGTGCTATCAGATGTGTGCATTCATGATGTGTCTCAAGAGATTTTGTGATCAGTTTTATAATATTAGTAGGAACAGAACCTACTATAATTGAGTAAAGCGCCATCTATATCAAGTCCTGTTTTCTTTTTTGTGTATACTGAAGGTATGCAAACCAAGCTTTAATTTTTTTATATAAATGGTTAATAGAATAGATCATTTCATAAGTTTGTTTTGCCCTTACCCTTAAAACTAAGGGTGGTCATAAAAATACCTCATTTTACAGCTTTTTTTTTTTTTTTTTTTTTTTTTTTTTTTCCTATCTCCTCTGCAACCTGTTATACCAATATTCAGATGAATGTTTATTTTATATGGCAGTAAAATCTATGTTTTCTTGGTGTTAAGATTTTCATATTCAGTAACTATACATATTTCCTTAAGTTTAGATGGTTGATTTTGGTTTGTTTTTTCTTTGAAGCAAGAAATACAGTCATTCTCTGAAAGCAAGTCAAAAAGTATCCCAGGGTTTGAAGACGAGGGGGTTTGCAACTTTGCATTTCTGGACGATATAACTAGCCACGTATATAATGTTAATATTAGTCTATAAGGGAAATATCAGCTTATCAATATGTTTGATATGATTTCTGCATTTTAAATGATACTTGGAAATAAAAGATGAGGCTAAAAATCTACACTTATTTTCTTACATTGTTATTGCAACCAGATGTCATACAGGTGGCTGCAGATAATTACTTTCATAGATATCCCACTTGAATCTTTAATTCAAAAACCTATTTTTAAGATTTAAAAAATCATCATACACTGTTAGCTGTATTTGCAACCCTATTCTTCGTAGGCGTGGATTTATAGCCAGGAAAATTACAAATGAAAAATACATGCTCTGTTGATGATTGCACTATTTGGAAATGCACTTGTGAACAGCATTTTAGTCAGCTGAATCATAACAAATCATAATTGAAAACATGAATCATTAATGTTAATTTAGAATATTGTTTCTGAGTAGCAACAACCTCATTCAACAAGTGGTTAGTTTTGTAAAGGAAAACCAGATGTCTCACTAAAATTTATATTTTTATTATTGAAATCTAACCCTTATTAAATAAAAAGCATGGCCAGCCATGGTTTATACTATAAAAAAATAAATGCTGTCTTAAATAATCAATAGTCTTCTCTCAGTTTGTTTTTCTGGTACTACTTCTTTTATGCATTTATCCTCACTAGGTCTGGTTAATAACAATTCATTCTCATTAAGTTTTTTTCATGTTAATTTTATTTTGTATTTTTTTTTAGCCCTTGAATACCACTAGCTTCCTAGTCTGCTTATCTTTCATGCAGAAAATAGCATGACTTTTCTCCTTTTAAGTGAAACAAACCACAGTTATTTAAAAATTTTTGTAAAGATATACAACAAAACAAAGAAAAAAATTGTAAAAAATAAATATATTTATATTTACATTTTCAATAATATGCACAAATTATATTATATACAATAATCTAACAATTCTCTAATTTCGTGTATTGCTAAGAAAATGTAAAGCCAATTGTTCATCATCTTCTAAGCTACGACTTAATTTACTGGTCTTCGACACTTTTTCAACTTCATCTGTTCTCTGTTTCTTTAATTGTGTCATCTGCACACCCATTTTCCTTTTGTTTCTAAAATTTGAAAAAGCAATTTTTAGAAGAATAAAAACTGAAAGCTTAATTTATATATAAATCTATTGTTTTAATTAATTTTTGTGGGAGCAAAGACTTGCATAACTAGTATATACCCAAACTGAAGTTCATTTTCTGAATCCTCATCTGAGCTTCCCCCAGAAGACATTAAAGTTTCTTCTTTATTGAACTTTTTGTCAGATGAATCTGATGCTTCATCTTCAGGTTCACTTTCAGAACTCATCATATTATTTGGGTCAATGTCTTCTTCAGAGCTCTCATTCTTATCTTGTTCATTCTCATCCTGAAAGAAGAAATAATTTTTTAATTAGCAAATGGTAGATGAAGGTAATTTTCATCAAAATTGAGAAGAGTGTGAATAATTTTATCACAGTAAGAACACACTAAAAAAAGGGAAGTTAAACACATTATTTTTTTTTTAAATAAAGTAAGAGAGGACATAGAAACAGTATTCTGTAAAACTAACAAATGTATAAAGGGCTAAAATTCCTCATGAGGAAGAAAATAATTTTGCCACAGGTAAGTTACTTAAAATAATTTCATGGGCAAAACCTAGAAGTCCATTGTTTTGATTAGCCTTGAAAAAATAGATCCCAACAGTTAGGAATATTTTTCATAAACGCGTCTGATAATGTAATTGCATATTAAATGTTTTCTATCTATTTATATGAAAAGATCATACCTGCATATTTAAAAAAAGTTACGATTGGTATTATGCCTATGATCCAAAAAATTATAATAACATGGAAAATAAGCAGGTATAGAATTCTCAAATGTTTATTTCCAAACTATATCCAATGTAAATAAAAATGTTTAAATATGATCAGAATACTTTAAAATGTAATAGAATAGCTGAATTACATGATCTGAAAGTTTTTGTATTTGAATTATTCACAGAACTAAAATATACACAAAAGATGGTTCAAAATATTAAAATATTTTTAAATTTTCATATGGTTTAGAAAATATTAGTATATATTTCAGCAGTTATGGCATTTCCACATGTGACAAAAAACGTAATACATTATTTTCAATCAATGATTTGCAGAACACGGATTAAAGCAATCACATATTGGAAGAAACTGATAATGAATCTAGACAAAAAAAAAAAAAAAAAAAGTTGTATTTAAGAATTTATTATTTTAAAAAAGTGAGATATACTCACTTTTTTAAAATGATAAATTCTCTAAATCACCATTCTAATGCCATTAGTTTTTAAAATTATCACTTCCAGAAAGGTCGAAACCTAATAATTAAGTAATGACAGGGGGATTGAAGTATAACATTAAGAAATATGGCTTTCTTAGGTAGAGGATAAGATGGACCATCCAAAAATTTGCATGAAGTTGAGAGGGAAAATCAGGCCAACCACTTAAATTTGTCTTTTCTGTTTGCAAACGATGCAGCATAATCCTTCTTTAAGACTGTGTGTGTTCTTGCATTTTGCTATTTAATCAAATTTTTGCATATAGAGGATGACAAAAAATATAACATTTATACATTAAACATTGTTACAAACTTGGAAAAAGTACTGCCAAAATTCAATAAATGATTAAGCTAATGTTTTGGAAAGTACTTTTGAGTTATATACATTTTTAAGAGTTACTTAGTGGCATTCAGCATTTCAGTGCTTTCGTGAAAATAATGATGTACCAAAGTTTGCATACAGAATTTTTGAACATCATTGTGTCTACACTTTGTCACATGATAGTGACTTCAAAAAATACATCCAAAACTTTTGTCTGAAAATCTACTATTTTCATTTTTACTTCCATCAAATGGGGCAAAGAACCAGCTTGAAAATATGCAATAAGAAAATTTTAGAAAAGAACAAGGACGATTGAAGAAGTGCCGTAAAACATTCTTTAAGTTCCTACAGTTTATACAATTTGAATGAATTTTAACTGAATTTATTCCAATTTTGTATACCTGATGTAAATAAATTAGAAAGCAAGTATAGTTTCAGGTCTGAATGGAATAGTAAATGTAGTGAAATGAAATTTGAAATGTTAAGGCCTTCTGACAAAATGGCAATTAATAAGTAATATTTCCCATGGTTTAAGGAAGGGATAGTTCAGTAGTTAATTTAACTGTTTGCTTTAATTGTGAGAATACTAAAATTTCCATTTAAATTTGAATACCATCAATCTTTAACTGATTAAACAACTCGAGGGCTATCCCATGGGGAGGAATGCCTTCGTGGAGAATTTTTTAAGAGAAACTGTCTCATATCTACATCACACTCGGGAAATCCACAAAAACACCTGTGCAACATTCATTGGGATTTCAGTTCAATTTATCAGTGTTTAGCGACTTCACTGCTCAGTTTCTTTAAATGTACTTAAAATGCTAGTAAAAATTATATATCAAACAAACTCATAAACAGCACTGAATTTTTAAACTACACCAACAATAAAAAATTTTAACTCAAAAGATCTTTTTCATTTAGTTGAAACCTACAAGTTTGACTAATGATATGAACTAGTATACTGATAAAATTTTATTGCAAAATCTGGCAACATGTTTAGATACTAATATTTACTTCTGATGTTGTAATTTATGTATTTTTGTATTATTGCTACTTTAATTATTTAGCGCATATTGTATGATAATTTATGTTCAATTGCTATGTAATTTGTTAAAATTTGTTTATAGCATTTATATGCATTTACTTTATATAGTATTCCATAAAGTTTTAAAATTGAATAGCATTGAAACTGAAAGTAGTTTAAAAAGATTTTTTTTTTTTTTCTGTTGTTGTTTATTTGATTATGGCACAGCATTTGAGGACTATCTGCCTAAGGGAAGGGATGCCTTAATAGAGGACTTCCTAAGGGAAACACACATTATACAAACAGAACACCATAAAAACACCAATGCAGCTAGTCTGTTTACTTGGATTTGAACTCAGACCAAACTATCACTGTTCAGCAACTTTACTGCTCAGCCGCTGATGGGCTCAGAGTTTAAATAGAATCAGATATATGGACAAAATCTATTCTACCGAGTCTAGGTAGCATTCTGGACGTTTCTAATGAAAACACTTTTGAAGCTGTAGAGCTGATTTTCCCAGAAGGTTCCAGCAATGTCATCCCCTTTTCCCTGGGAAATGGTATAGCTAAGTATCTGCAATGTACTCTGATTTATTCAGCAATATTTCTCACATGTTTGTGGGAATTTTGGCTTATATTTAATTTCTTCATCTGTTTTCAGTTGCTTTATTTACTGTGCAGAATTACTAAGTTTTTTTTTTTTTTAATCTATCAGTAAGAATCTATTAAAGTTATCTATGAAAGCATAGCGCCCAACAATATTAAATTTTTTTGAGTTTACATACATAAAAACAAAAGTTAATAACATTATCATATATAAAAAACAACTTTTTAGTTTAAAGTGAAGCTAAGGAAAAGAGTTATGTAATACTTCTCTCATCCTTCAATCAGCAGAAAAAAGTTATATTATATTGCACTTATCCTGATAATTTACTTCCAATGGTCTGATAATTTACTTCCAATGGTTTTGTGGATGAATGTTTAATTAGCTAATTCTAGCAAAGTATTTCAAAGCAAAACAAGGATGCTTTTGTTGAGCAGATTTAAGGAAAATGGTTTAAAATCACATTACACAATGGAAAAACTATAAAAACATCCACACAGTAACTTGTATCAATGATGTAAACTAAAAATGGAAAGAAAATTGCTAATATTCATGGCTTTAGCTATACAAAACAGTATAAGGCATTAATACATTTACAAAATAAATTTTTTATATAATGCAATATAATTTAAATTTATATACATCAGTACTAATTATCAAAACCTTTTTTTTTAATCATGTCAACTTTTTTCACTACAGGATACCCTCAAAGACATTTGTCTAAAAAGTCCTACAAAAGATGCATATAAAGGGAAAACATATCAAATATACTGTTTACAAAGAAGAGTTTTATTCATACAAAGGCTATGTATAGTTACCGCAAGGTAAATTTTGTTCATGATAATGGTAAAGTTTTTTTTTTTCTTTTTACTAAAAAGTAAACATACATATTAATGTAAAAATTTTCATTTATGGCTTTCCCGGAGTGTTTAATCTGTGCACATAAAACTTTTAAAAGCTTCAGAATTCAATTTAAAAATTATTAATTTTTTATTATGAAATTTGAAATAAAACCATATATATCAGAATTTAAATGCAAAATAATAATGAAAGGGAATACAAAAATACAAGTAAAATATTGTAGTTTATATTTATAAGTCTCTAATAAAATCTACCAGATGAAAACAAAATTACATAAAACAAGCTCAAAACAACATCAAGAAAAGCTTTAATTTCAACAACTATTTTCTTAAACTGCATATTTTCCAGGGTTCTGATTTACACTAACAAAATGCTCAAAAAGATTTAATTCTAAACTGTTTTGAAGAAATTTCAAAACACGTGTATATAATATATTACATCAGCAGTAATCACAAAGAACATATATTGTAAACAATTTTGCCTACAAGTTTCTGGGGGGGGGCTGGAGAATTCACTACCGGAATTAGATCTACTACAGACTGTATGAAATTTCTTTAAATGTTCACTTACTTCTGGTTCTTTTAGTCTTGCAGCAGCTCCAGATTTACTCATTCGCCTTTTTTCTTTCTCTTTTAGTCTCTGTTCCTGTAATACATTAAAAAATTAAGAAAAACTGCCAGTGGATTAATTACATGAAATCATTCCTATGAAAAATGTCACTTTTGAAATAACTAACGTTTACACATTTAATTCTACTTGCCAAATATTAATGATTACAAAAGTATTGTCTATTCTTTTCAAATTTATAGTGTTGCGTGCGTACGGGTTCGTTATGAAATGAATGCACAAGTTTGAGGGAAAATGAACAAAAATTTATTATTATCACAACAAAAATGCTTAAATTTTCTCAAATTATCATGCAGTATTACAATATCTCACAGTAGTTATCTTTTAACTACTCAAATATCCAATAGAACGTAATTCAAAACAGCTAAAGAACGCGAATTCGCTACAATCAACAAGAGCAGTTTTCTAAACAACAACAAACTAAGCAACTCCTACGAACTGAGATGTTTTCCTCCTTTTATAAGCTTTTAAAATCACGCGCTAGAATTTTCCAGTACTTTCTCGAAATCAAAAGAGATATTTATTTATTTAATGCACGCGCTCTTGTAATTTTAATTTTCCGGCTTAGCTTTCTTCTTTTAATATTCGTCACGTGCTGCACTGCGTGGGAAATAAAACCAATTAATTTATAATTGAACTAACATTAGAATTTTAAGTACCGAATTCGTAACACTGCCCCCTTCCCAAGGACTGCACGTCCCGGGCAGTACAATCCCTGGACAGGAAGTCAAACTTATAACTGAGGCATAAATGCAACTGAGGCATAAGCATTACATTACAATATCAAACAACATGAACAATAAATGCAATAACTAACTTAAACAAATCAAATGCTATCAAATACTAAATACAAAACAAATACTAAATACAAATCAAATACTAAATCAAATCAAATACACATTTAAAAACAAAAAGGACCATGGTCTTATACTATTTACAATTATTTACATTATGTACTATGGCCATAGTAATAAGCTAACCCGTCGTAAGACTTCGAAGACTCACGGATCCGAACCACGACGTCATTCGTGTTTATGGACCATCCGAAGGTGACTGTAATTTAGGACTCAGTCCTTTTCGTTGAATCGGGTTCCACAACCACACCTTGTCTCCTTTGTTGGATCTATGTCTAGTAGCTCTTGTGTCGCATCTGGTCTTCATTTTCTCCGTCGCCAAGTTGACTCGCTTTCGTGCAGAACGGTGCATCCCCTCAAACTGGGCCCAGGCATCTTGGATGTGTTCCTCAGGCGATGAAGGCGCATCCGTAGGGCGACTAAACAGGCGGTCACAAGGCAGACGAAGGTCTCGACCGAAGAGCTTCTGAGATGGAGAATAGCTGGTAGTCTTGCGTTTCTTTTCGACCCTGGTATGATTTCGGCAGCTTCCCGAGCTCGATCTTTCGGACAAGGCGTCGACATTTCCAGGCGAGGATCCCTTTTGAGGACGGATAGTCATGCCATCAGATGCTGAAAGCAGCTTATTGTTTTGAAATCTAAGGAAAAATTGTATTTCTTTAAAAAGTCCAATCCGAGTATGCATGGATCTGTAATATCCGCCACATATGCCGTGTGATGGTAGGCGGCACTTCCAAACGTGATGTTTACGTTTAACTTCCCAGTTATGTCGATCTTGTCACCAGACGCAGTCCGAAAGGGTAACACAGGATGGCGTCCAAAAATAAGTTTATCTTTAAACTGTTCAGCTAAATCTTTCCTAATGGTGGTAACATTAGCTCCTGTGTCAATGATCATATTGCCAAGGAACTCCATCGATATTTCCATTGATGGACAGTCCGTTATTGTTGCCACTCACTATAGAGATCTTAAGCGCTTTTTTAAAACAGGGTTTTTTCATTATCTGGCAACCTCCGTTCCTTGATATGGTCATTAATTTGTTTCCTGCGTCGTTGCTCAGAAATTGTCTCAATTTTCGTACCCTGGGGTGTTTTGCAATTCTTTCGTATGTGGCCTTCAGCTCCACAGTTCCAGCACTTTGGTTTCTTGTCAGTCCTTTTCCTTCCCGTGGCATTTAATTGTCTGTTTAAATCGTATGCCTTATTTTCCGTGCTCTGGGGAGTTCTGCAGTTCCTTCGTAGGTGGCCTTCAACACCGCAATTCCAGCACTTTAGGGTCGGTTTCGTTTCACCACTAAGACGGAAGTCTTAAAGCATTCACTGGTCTTGTCAACTTCATTCCGTTTTATTATCCGTGCCTTGGGGTGTTCTGCAATGCCGTCGTAGGTGACCTTCAGAACCCCATCTCAACAACATCTTACAGCCACTTTGTTCTCACTGCTACTCCGTATCAAAGCGTCGACTTGTCTGGATAAATCATCTAAACGAGCCATCAATTGATCCACTGGCTCATGTGGACTCGCACAGCTCTAACTGGGTTCTCCGAGTCTGCGAGTCCTGCGATCTCTACGAGTTGCTTGCTGGGCTGCCTCGAATTTCATGGCGTACAACTAGAGCGCTTTTTAAATCCTTTACATCTGCCATTCGAAGAGCTTTCTGTATTTCAGGATCCCGGATGCCGTCGATGAAAGTATTGCAGGGACAGGATTTCCCTTGTTTCTGTCGGGCACTCCGAAAAGGCGTGATGTGACAGCCTTTTCAACATCGTGGCGAGCTCCTGAAGTGTTTCGGTAGGGCTTCTGTTGACGAGATTTTAATTGGAGGCCTGCTGTAGTCTTTTAAACACTTCTCCCCCAAAGCGCAACTTCCAAGGCGCCGGACAGAGCTTCGAAAATCTAACCTTTTGTTTTCGGGAAGCGTCTGCAAGGATATCCGCTGGCGTCTGCTCTCAGAGAAGCGGCGAGATGACAGGCCTTAGCTTGGGAATCCCATCCATTCGCATTCCGCCACGATAGAAAACTGTGTCTTATACACTTGCCAGGATGTCTTCCCATCATATGTGGATAGCTTCAGAGATGGGACGAGCAAGGCATCGGTAAAAATTTAAAACCCTCATCACTTGCTTACCTCCCTGTCCTATAGCTACGAATTTCTTTAAAGTTTCCAACTTCTTTGGCAATAGCCGCAGAAACCCGGTCATCAATTTGTTGTTCGATTTGTTTCTGAACGGAACAAACTCTTTCTTCTATTTCTTCTTTAACAGAAGAAAAACATTTTCCTCAATTTGTCCAACTTTATTCTCAACCACATCTATTCTGCCTTCCATAGCATCGAATTTGGTTTCTATTATGCAGGCAATTTCTCTTTTCATTTCGCATTGACTTTCTTCAATCTTGACTTGAACAGCTTTTATTTCTTCTTTAACACATTCCTTAACAACTTTTATTTCGTCTTTAGAAGTTAATTGACCAGTTTGAATGGCCTTCATTTCTTCCTTAACGGATTCTTGGCTCATTTCATTTGTTCCTGTGCCGTTTTCATTTCTTCCTTAAGGGATTCCTGGTCCAATTTCATTTCTTCCTGTCCCGCTTCAATCTTTTCCTGTACGGATTTTTGACCAGCATCTATTTTCTCCTTAATTTCTTCTTTAAAAGATGATTGGCCAGCTTCCATCTTTTCTTGGAACGCAGCAAAAGCAGTAATGAGCTGTCTCAATTGTTCTTCCATCCCTCTTGTTATTGGCATTCAAATCCCACTTCTGACACCAAAAATTGTTGCGTGCGTACGGGTTCGTTATGAAATGAATGCACAAGTCCGAGGAAAAATGAACAAAAATTTATTATTATCACAACAAAAATGCTTAAATTTTCTCAAATTATCATGCAGTATTACAATATCTCACAGTAGTTATCTTTTAACTACTCAAATATCCAATAGAACGTAATTCAAAACAGCTAAAGAACGCTAATCCGCGAATTCGCTACAATCAACAAGAGCAGTTTTCTAAACAAAAACAAACTAAGCAACTCCTACGAACTGAGATGTTTTCCTCCTTTTATAAGCTTTTAAAATCACGCGCTAGAATTTTCCAGTACTTTCTCAAAATCAAAAAGAGATATTTATTTATTTAATGCACGCGCTCTTGTAATTTTAATTTTCCGGCTTAGCTTTCTTCTTTTAATATTCGTCACGCGCTGCACTGGGCGGGAAATAAAACCAATTAATTTATAATTGAACTAACATTAGCTTTTTAAGTACCGAATTTGTAACAATAGGTAATAATTATCCACATAAACTATTAATAGATACTGAAACAATAAATTTATTTTAACTTAAGCATGATAAATGAATAGATAAAAAAAAAAAACTTACCCGATGTTTTGATTTGACTCTTTCTTTATACAAAAGCTTGTCAACTTCATCTTCCTTTTCTTTTAGTAATTTTGCTTTCTCAATGCTGTATCCTTCTTCAAGAAGCTGTTTGTGGAGTTCAGGTGCAACTACAGGTACAGGTTTACCACATACTTCTCGAATTGGCTAGAAGGATAGGTAATTATTACATATTTTAGTATGATGCTACATAAAAAAAAATCTGCGAGTGTGAAGCAGGATAAAGCAGATAAACGATTTTACTATGATCAATCTTCAATAATTTTTCATGACTATTTTCTTGAACAATTTTACATAACAGGAATTGCTTTCATGAACTATAACAACATATACACAATATCAACATTAGTTATAATTGAAAAGCTTAGCATTTTAAGCACTGATAAAGGGTGTTTTTACAGTGCACATTAACAAATGCTAGGAAATGTAAAATCTTAATTAATGGCATACTACAATATAAATATACTTTTAAGTATTTCCAGATACTGAAATCGATTAATCTTGCACTAATATGTAAATAATACTTTGGGAGGGGCACAGAATGAAATAAATATAACAATATTAAGAATTCATTCTGCAGTTTTATCATACACTAAATAGGTTATTGAAGATAGTAAAGTCATTCTTTGAACAGAAATTCGACAACCACTCATAGCATACACTATATGAAAAATGCCAAGCATATTTTATTTTCTATAAAACAGCACATCCAATGTAATTTTTGGAAATTAACACTTAAATATATAAAAATGATTATATCATATGATGCAGTTAATAAAAGTTGCTGAAGATAATCACAGTTGTTGTAGCTAATGAAATGATCATTTGAGCAGAAATTTGAAAATCATTCAAACATAATTCTCATTTGAAGAGAAATTCAATATTCATTCACAACATGCTGGTTATTTACTATTACTTTAAAAATGCCAAGCATATTTTAAAATTTCTAAAAACAGCATATTAAATAATTTTTTTTAAATGAATACTTAGCCGTACAAAAATGGTCACATCATATGATGTAAATAATAAAAGTGTTAAACAATAAAATTCTGACTTGCAAAAAATTGAAAATTTGTAAAATTAAACTTCCTTTAGACATTAATTTTAAACACAGATGTTAACACTAAAAATAATCTTGCATATTATTCTTTTACTACGAAAGATTATGCTACTTTTCTCAAAATCCAGAGGGTCTTTTCAATTGCTTTTTGATGAATAGAATTATTTATTTAAAAACTTACTAATTTTCTTTATCTTGTGTGTTACACATTATTTTAGTATTAACAAATCTGTTGTCAATGTCAGTATATGAAAACTCACCAAAGTTGACAAATGTGAAAACCAAGTGTTACCATATACCTCATCATGTGATGGTGCATGATTGGCTATGTGCCTGCATGTAACTGGCAGCAGCTATGTGCCCGCATGTAACTGGCAACAAAGTTTAAATACAAAAATAGGTTTCAAAAGTGATAACTCTTGATTCTATATAGACTAACTTTTCCTTAAATATGCAAGTTTATTTATTTAATATCATTTTTTTTAAATTCATTAAACCCTTTCTTTTTTATTTTTTCCTTAAAAGCTCATTTTTAAGTATCTCAAAGCTCATGAAATTTATGTGTTACCCAGTATTATCAATTATTCAAATATTTTAAAATGTGCAAATTAAAATCAGATTATACTTACGAAATAAATATACTCTATTAAATTTATACATCATAAATTGAATGAGAAATGCAAGACTTTTGTGTATGGAATGATGCTTGAATTTCTTTAAAGTGGTTTATTAATATATTATTCTATTAAAACTTAAAAGAATGAAAGTTTTTTTCCTTTCTGAGACCAATATAATTCTAAAGGACAAACTTCCTAGACTATTCAAAAGTATGAAATCTTAAAAAACATTTCCTATATTTGCATCAGTAAGCATAAAGACTACTTGCATATTTCATCTTTTCCACATGATGTTGACTTAATCAATATTTCATCAATTCAGGAGAAAAAAGAAATCACTGATGGTCATTACAATGTAATTTTAACTAATGAATGGTGATCAATACAAAAAAAGAAAAATTACATCAGGCTAATGAAAGATGGATCCAGACTTCCTATAAGTATTAACCCTATAAGTGGCCAAACCATATATTATAATAATAATAATAATAATAGTCTTGGCATTTTTCAACACTTAGACATGTATTTTGAAATATGTCCAGACAATTAAAATAGCATATATATTGGAAGAAAAAGTGTCAATGTTCAACTGGAGAGGGTCATTTGGAATTGTAATTAAGAAAATACCAAATACATATGGCCTTTTTGGGAACTACAGGAGTCTGGGGACAAAAACCTTGGCTACTTGGAGCATTAACAAAGAAATGATCTGTATTATCAATAGCACAGATGTATTTAAATTGCAACTTCCTGCAGGTTGTTGTTGAAGTAAGTTTCTGTAAGTTTGATTTACTTACCTCACCATTTTCATCAAATTTGGTAATGGTATTTGGTTTTATTTTCTTTTTCAATATTCTTTTAGCTAAGGCTGCTTTAGTCAATGGTTTCTTTGGCTTCATAATCTGATTACCTTCACTTTCCTAGTAAAGACAAAAAAAAAAAAAAAAAAAAAAAAAAAAAAAAAAAAAAAAAAAAAAAAAAAAAAACTCATTGTTTATGTAAACTGCAATTAAATACTATTTTTGCCAACAATTAATATAAACAAAGCAAATGTTCATGATAAGAAACTGTGTGCTTTTATTACGTGGTGAGTTGGCATTTTAGTAAGCAACTCAAACGGAAAAATAAAATATAGAAGTCTAATTAGTAATTTTATTTAACTCGGGTAAATTAAAACCCCAAACATCTATAACAGAAAATATACATAGCATATTTAAAATTTGACAAAAAAGCAACCTTAGTTTGGCAGAGATTTTTTATTAAAACTCTATAAATATTGGAGGTAACTCAGAAAGCTCTATGATTTTGAGAGTGATCTAACAAAGGTCCATCTTCTTCTGAACAGAAAGAAATGGGGGGAAAAGAATCCCTGCAGCAGAAACAGAGTAACATCGAAATGGAAGGAATTTGACAGGATGTCCCCCCCCCATTGTATGCTTTGGAATACTGCAGTAGCAATCAAAGGAAATTGAATACATTCCAAAGAATCTGGAACCACACTCAGAAACACAGGTAAATAGGCATGTTTATTTGCTCTTGTCACATGCTTTTTGAAACACTGAGTGAAAATTTAAGAATATATATTTAGTTCATGAAACCGCTTTCACTAATATCAATATTTACTAACATTTCAGTTGAGGGATCAGTAAAATATCTTGAAACTGATTTCAAGAATTACATTTCATTCATTCTGAAATTCAACAGTTAATTTTTCTCACTAAAATTGAGTCAGACTGCTTCATTTCTCAAAATAATTACTATTCTTAAACTAAAGGACTAGCTATGCATAACTCCCTTAGTCCAGTACATACTGACATTTACATGCATGATTTTGAGGTCAAATAATTTGAAAAATTATTTTTTTGGTTCTGGAATCACCAAGTTGATGAAATATACATGCTTTCTTATGGTTATAAAGATGGTTTAATCAAGATTTTATTTGTTATGAATTCAACTGATCTAGGCATCCACTTCACTTTTGAAACTGAATCTGATAATTCCCTTCTTACAAATTTAATTAGATAGATTAGAATAAAATATAATTTTCCCTCATTTAACTTTCTAATGCTATATACATCCGTTCACATGTTTTTACAGCTTCAGGATACCTTTGCATAAAACAACTGTTGGAATAAAATAATTAACGCAAGTGTAAAATTTGCATAAAATAATTCCCTCATTTTACACAATAATATGCACACACACATAAAAGGCAAGGGAGAACAAATCCCCAATATCTCTCAACAGTGCCCAATCAGGTGAAATTTTATTTTGAGAAACAGGAATTATTATGATAATACTAAATACGGTAAGCAGTAATTAAGAACTGTTGCTCTGCAATAAAGCGCCTGATGATAATTGCATTAAAAATGAATAAAATAAGAAATAAATTTTTTATGCTAACTAGAATTTTTTAGAATAACTGTTATGCATATATGCATTTGAGTGCTATAATTTCAAGAAAACTGAAAGAATGAAGACACTGAATATTCGTCCATATTAAAAATCAACATAATGGCAAAATATATGAGTCACATAGTCAAGTAATGCAAAATGATCAAGAACTAAACATCAGAATATTGCAAAAATAAAATATACCGATAAACTGGTAAAAAAATCTCTGGCACAACACTAAATTTGCATTGGATAGCTTTTGTCAGTAACAACAAAACAAAAAGAAACAAATGAAAAAAAAAAAAAAAAAAAAAGAGTACTGCTAACATACTAATAGACTCTTTCAATACAAATATAATTTTGCATCATTTGATTCCAAATGGAATAATAATGAATCAATATTACTATACACAGATCATGGAAACCTTCTGGTTAAAAGTCAGAAAGAAAGAAATTACAACTGAAGTAAAATATCTTAATTACACATTAGTGAATGAGAAAAGCTGTATGTTCACTTCACAGCCTTCCATACACTTCACTCCTTTAGCCACATATTCCTGTCTTCCACAGACCAAAGTTAGGATTCAAATCAGTTTCCAACATTTGTTCACCCAGTAACTTCAAACAGGTTCCCTTAACTGCAGATTTTAAAGAAAAGAAAGAATGCTTATGATTTTTTGAATGAGAAGGTATTCAAGCACTGCAATATATTTAATAGGCAAAAGCTGCTTTTCACAGAACACTCAAATAGCTAAATTCACATTACTCAATACACATAACATATACATGTGAAATGTAAAAATGTGTGACTAAGAGGAAACTGCTATCTGTAAAATTTTATGATCTTGAGAAAATTAGCAGGTATTAAAGAACACAATCATCAATGATTATTGAGCATAAGAAATTGACCACGATTAAGGTTATGAAATAATGTTAGAAATTATTAAACCAAATTAATATGGAAGTTTTACTTCTCCTGATGTTGGATCTAGATGAGCACTTTCTTTTGGCTTCAATAAATCATCATCAGATTCATCACTGCAATTAATTGTCTCTTTCAAATATTCTTTTTCATCAAAAGGTCGACTTTTTGTTTCAAATACTTTACCAGAAGCTTTTAAATGCTTCTCCAAGAAACGAATTCTAGGTGCAAATGCCAAGCCTAATGACCTGAAAAATAAGAGGGGATATTACAGAAATGGGTAATAATTCAATAAAAAAACTAATAACACTATCATAAATAGGTCCTAATACTTTGTACCCTAGCATATACCTATCATATATTTAATAATCACTCTAAAATTAAACATCATAAACAAAAAAAGATGATTTTACAAAATTTAATTTATAGACATAAAATAGAATAAGACTTGAAAAGTTTCCAAGCATTACAAACGGTTTACTTGTTTCAGAAAGTTACTTAATTTATAAATGATTAATCTCATATACATTATCTAATAAAGGGATGAGGCGAATCTCTTTTTAACATCAATTTCTTTTTCATGGTTGGCATACAATTTTATATAATCCAACACAAATCAAATCAGTGCTACAGTGCCTTGTTCTTAAAGACCATTTTATATTACATAAACTTCAAAAATATGCTTTTTTTTTTTTTTTTTAAGACAGCAGTATGTTGCTGCAGTGAAGTAAAAGAGTGCAAAAAGAGGCAAACAAACAGTGAGCTAAGGGAACAGGTGGCTAAAAGAGAGGGAAACTGCGAACAAAGAGAAGAGGTGACTAAATGAGAGCAAAAAACCTTATATAGAGATTATATTTTAGATTACATTACAAAAACGTTTACCTTAAGTAAAATAAATTTCAGAAACATTGCAGATTAATATTCAAATTGATATATATAATAAAATTTGGAAGAAGATAACTTTAATGTAATAACTTGGTGTGGTAGATGGATGCATAAACCAGAAACATGCAGACATGGCCTAATTCGATTATTTTTGTTTTGCGAATTTGCGTTGGTTCACTATAAATGTCTGTTTCACTTTTCAAACTGTTGCCAAAAAGTATTATTGCCCTGTGTTATATTTAAAGAAATTAAATAATGAAAAATCTGTATAAATGTATGTATATTTCTCACATTGTGATAAACAATGGTACATAGAGCCATCGAATATTGAATGGCATAATCTTCCTACGAATATGGGCATGTGGAAGACCAAATTTGAACTTTGGAATTTGTTTTATTATCGATTTCCTATTTTGCAAAACGTAAACCAATTTTTGATTACAAACTCAAGGATTTCAAAGTGAGCAATGGCAACATTGTACAGAAAAAACGTTTTTATCTCCAGCACGTGAGTCTCTGTATCGGAAATTCTAAAGATATGCTTATTTTAAAACTATTTTGCAATATTGCTGTTGAACTGAATTTTATGGTTTAAGTGTGAAGAACATGATATTTAATAAATAAAGGTAACAGGCGAAATGTTAAAAAAATGCCCCTTTGGACGTAATTTAAAATTTGAAACCTGTCAGACTTTTTTTCCCACATAGTTGGCATACAATTTTATTTAATTCAACACAATTTAAATTGGTGCCACAGCACTTTATTCTTAAAGAACTTTTTACTTCCATTAATAACTGAGGACAGAGATCAGATGATGGATTACTTTTCAAAATTACTGGAAGTAAAGGTTGTATTACAAAAGTTATTACTTTGCTATATTAGAATGAAGAGAGTGAAGTTAAGAGCTATTATTAATTTATTACTAGACAAGTACATATTTTATATGTATATTCAGCAAAGGTTAAAGGAGTGCTAGGGAGTTACTCATAAAGCAACTGGCCTTTTTGAACTATGTTATTAGATTGCAAAATAATAATAATAATAATAATAATAATAATAATAATACAGTCAAAAGTCGTTAATTTAGACACCCATAATCCGGACCTCAAAGCTAAAAACTTTCTGCGCATGCGCCGCTACAAAACGAAAGTATGTTTCGATGTCCAACAAACAAAAAGTGGAACTGCTGCAAAAAATGGATAAAAACATGAAGAATGTGACAGAGAGGGTAGTGAAAACGAAAAAATTTCAATTGACAAGTTAGTCGGTATTCTCGGCACAGCAATTAACGGGACTTGAACAGCGGGACTTTGTAACTGAACAAGAAATTATGTCTATTTATAGAATTAAAGAGAAAGTTTTATCACATAAAATGAAGCAACTTAAACAACTTACATTGAAAGAAATGTTTAATAAAGTAAACAAATAAATATTAAGCTTTTTTTTTTTTTTTTTTTTTTTTTTTTTTGTAAATTTTGATACCCTTTAGATCATAATTGTTCTGTATTTCATAAATTACGGTTTCATATTTTTAATTTTAGAATTTCTGCATGCCATCTTACGAGATTTAAACTGATGATCTATAATCCGGAATCGCCGAAGTCCCGACGAGTCCGGATTAACGACTTTTGACTGTAATAATAATATAAACTACATTAGGTGTGAGCCTTTTGGTTTATGTTGCATAAAGAGGGTAAAAAGGATAAATAACAGGTAAAAACAGGGCCACTGTTTTAAAGCCATACTCCCTCAAGACACTCTAGTCTTAACAGAATATCAGCCATTAATTTTTACCGTTCATTTACCATAATTTGAAATTAGCTGTATTAATGCTACTTATTTTTATAGTCACTTCATTCTCAGAATAATTATAAAGCTCTGAATATTAACTCAAATATTTTAAAAAATAACTAAAAAATATAATGATTAATCACACTACAATTTAATAATCTTCCCTGAAGGAAATATTAAAATTCTTTACTTAATTAATTAGATCAAATTATTAAAATTCAAATTTCTAATACAGTAAAATTTTAGTCTGATATTTTCATAAAACAGTGTAACATTAAAAAAAATCATATCTAAATTTCAAAGTAATGTATATCATTCCCATTTTTATTCATTGATTATAAAAAAAATGTTATTGCATTAATTAATAAATTAAATGGAAAAAATTAGAGTAGTAGAATTTTGAAACAGAAGCACTGCATGTAAAAAAATAAAAATAACCCTTTTCACATGTTTGTTTCACTGAGTACATATATGATTTTTTTTTTACATGGTTGGCATACATATGGAATAAAGGGCACTCCTGATTGATGATCTCAGCTCATGTTCGATATTAAACAGATGACGGATTACTTTCAGAATTACAGGGCATAAAGATTATATTAGAAAAGTTACTGCATTGCTATTTTAGTATGAAGAAGGAAGTGAAGATAAAGAACTACTGTTAATTTATGTGTAATTATTAACTGTGTGTATGCAAAATATCTACTGTAAAGGTAGATATTTTATATTTTACATACACACACACACATTATAACTTGGTAATAAGTCTTTTATTCTTCACTTTAATTTGGGTACTTCCCCTTTCTGTCCTAACAATAGTGACCATTTATAATATATCGATATAAACTGCATGATTCCAAATTAATGTGTTTCATGCCATATTACATAATCCTATAATGCAGGTATGTTACCATCAATCACTTTTTTTTTTTTTTTTGAACCAAAACTTTTCACACATCTCTCACACATTTTCCTGAATGTGTAACTTCTGCTTCACTATGTCAACTTGCGGCTGCTTACTATCTTCAAGGATATATTTCACAAATTTATCAGTACTGACGTGAAAATTTTTTTATTTTAAGCACAGGGCACTGTAAAGCTCATTTTACCTGTGTTGGTTTAATGAAAAATGTGTGACAACCATGAATAAAAATGAAATAATTAATTTTACCCCATCTGCAAGTTTCTGCTTTGTTGTGCATCTATTATGCTTTTCAACTATCTCCAGTGTATTACAATGACTCCCCAAGTTATTACAATAAGTTGGACAGGATCGAGCTTGTGGAAAAGGACCCCTGCTTAGTTAAAAATTGGTCTACAGAATTAAACTGCAAGTTCAAAAGTTCTATGTTGTTTTAATTGAAATTCTAAGTTCTTTAATAGCAATATCATGAAGATGGATAAGAAGTAATATCAACATTCTGTTTGTGATGTTCTACAGCTTAAATTTACAACCAGCTGCTGGTTCAAAAGTAGCAATAATTTAAGTTGCAAGAAAAATTAAAATCATTCGACATATAATGTATTCAGAAGTGACTTAAAATGCTTAGGCAAATGTTTTGTCTACTTTTATTTTCAATAAAAAGAATAATATAATTTATTTTAAATTTTGATTTTTTTGCAGATTTTAAAATTTTATTCTTAAATTTTAATGAAATATTCCTGAAATTTGATTGTGTTGTTTCGAAACAGAAGCAAATATTATTAAAAAAATGACAGTATAACTTCATTTTCTTTAAATGGTTTTGAATTTACACATTTTGTAGATATATTTAATGTTATTTTCACAGCAAATTAAAATTTTATGATATTTAGAAATTTAATGTTAAGAATTTTGAATTACTTTGAGTATGAAGTTAATATATAAATAAGGAAAGTAATTTTGAACACTAGTATAGAAAATGAATATAAAACAGTGTTTTAAGTATAATGTTGAAAATATTAAGTGTTTTGATGTTAAATATTTGTTATAAAATATAGAAATATTAATACTTTAAAAATTGAATAACTGGTAAAATTAAACGAGTAATGTAACTAAAAATTGAAACTAATAAAGAATCTGAAATTAATTTAGAATTATGGTAATTGAAAGTTATAATTAATGCATGTAAAGACGGAATATGTTGAGGGAGTACTGGCTCAGAAACTGAGGCTTATTTTTACCTCTGAATAACTGTTCCTTTCACACTCCTCATATAAGATAAAGTTGAAAGCTCCTTACCTTATGAAAAAATGTGATTTTTTTCCCCCATAGAATTATTATTTTTACTTTTTACATATAGTGGAATGTTTAGTAGAGTTCATAAAGGCCAGTTACCTTATGTAAGAAGTGGAGGCCTTTAAAAGTAACTGCCAGAGTATTCCTTAAACACTGGTGAATTAATATATCAGTCCGTTAAATGAATCACACAGCGATGTCTAAAACAGTTTTCGCTTTAAATATCAGCAACTGAATATCAGACAGCATGGAAAGCTTTTATGGGGCACATGCTTGGCAACGATTACAGATTTCAACCAACTGCGTTGCGAAGTGTTAAGTGTGATGACGACGAGTAATTTTTAAAAATATATT